AGAAAAATGGAAAAGTGGAAATAGTTTTGTTGGACCATGGTCTTTATTTGGTGAGTTAAGTATGAATGATCGCTTCCTTTCTTTTTTACAGTGTTCGCTTCTTTTGTTCCGACTAGTCGCCTCGAACCTTATAGATATGGCAAATAAAGTTGATACAGTATCTGGAAAAGTGCCCGATTCAAGATTCCGCCACCGTCGTAGTTAATGCGAGCATATCAGAAAACACTGACCCATAGCTCTTTTTTCACGCGAGCATTACGAGTTACATTGGTATGCCGACGTTTCGGAGTAACTGATATCGCGTCGCTGGCTATAAGGCTGGGATTACTGTGGGAAAAAGCAGTGGTCACGACTTTTTTGTGTGGCGCATCGAACCGGCTTAATTTCAACGTATTAAAAAGGATTGACCTTTCTCTATAGAGCCTGCTCTCGGAAAAGCTAATGACAGTGAAACTGCAACTCGTTCAGTCCGAAAGGAGCAGGAGATTTGACGATTTCGTGCTATGTTTCTCGTGATCAGCACATTAAAGTAGACTAATAAGGCAAAAATTCGAGATTGACTAATTACGCGGAAACTGCATTGACAAACAAAAAGTCAAAATTGCTAGTAGGTTTAGAGTTAGTTCATGTTTGGCTAGCGTATCGTGAGCTTCAGGGTTAAGCAGAAAAGTGGGGAATGTTCATCAGAACCTTCATCCTTTGAAGCAGTCCAGCCACGTTCTTTTCGACAGTTATTCTGAATCATGTGATTAAGCACCAAAAAATCAACTTAATTAAATATTAATTACCTTTCCCATTGTGTTGTTCTGAGAGGATATTGTTTTAGGATATCGATGATAAGTTTCGTGGACTCTATTCAGATTTTTGGCTTGCATTGCTTGCACCTGACCAAGACAGATTAAGGGTAAACTATTGTCAATCTATCTACCTTTTGCTACAGGATATTCCTTGCTCTTTTAGAGTGTGGCTACTGAAATGGGTGTTGGTGAGCTTTACGGTTTGTTTGCCTGTATGGTAGCTCGAAGATCATGGAAGGCGGTTTCACAAGGGATCAAAAATAAGAAACTGGATATGGCAGAGGTAGCTATTTTTTCTATAATTACGTATTAACTAGATGGTTCTTTAACCAGATGGTTCTAAGTTCATCTTTCTGAGTTTGAAGCCTTTTCTTGACTTCAGATAGACGAGTTGAAACTGTACGCTGGTGCGCTGATCCCCAAAATTAGTGAAGTGCTACATCGGATGCCGCGACAGATGCTTCTTATTCTTAAGACTAACGATTTAATAAGAAATCTCGAACATGTTTTGGGAACCGAAAGTCGTTCAGATGCCCACATTGAGGTAACCGGATGAGGGTTCTATTTACTCATTTTAAACTCAGACTTCGAATTTCAGATGTCTAAGTGTGTGGTGCGATCTCATTATGAAATGAAGCTGAAAAATTCTCACAGCCTTTGGGAGGCTCTAAGGATAAAACTGAAGCTGTATTGGGCTTTATTCAAAATACATTCATATGAATGGTATCTCATCACAAGAGAATCAATCCCATTTTTACATCTCTCTTAATGTTGATAATTCGTTGTTACATCTCTTTCAGCGTACTAGGTATAGCCATTATAGCTGTAATGCTCATAGTGAAATCTCAACCATACTCTTGAAGTAATGAGATTTATCAACCATTTTGCAATGGTGGTCCAGTGGTGCGCTCAATCGTAAGCATCTTGTGATACATTGTACAATTTTTCAAGGGTCAGTGCACGACTTCCGCACTTGCTACGCATATGTATATCAATGTGCAACGGCCTCTATCCAGTTTTACCAAAAGTATGAACATCATTTATTAATGTTAGACAAGAACCTCACCCAAAGAAAGGAGAAGAAACCGCCGTCTTTTTTTGCAAGTCGTGCTGTTTTAAGAGAATTAACAAAATGTGTCGACCCGCTATCAAGTGGTACAGATCGCTTTCATCTCTCTTTAACTTCCATTTTTCAAATGTTTTAGCATTTCGTGCATACTTACGAGGTAGCCCTCCAACATCTAAGGTAGCTTTCATATCCTTGGATCGATGTGAAAGCGTCATCATTGCCTAATGTTTCGCCTCTTACTCTACCAGCCAAGCTCTTAGCGATACAAATTTTCAGCTTTTCCATTCATTTTATAGCTGTGATTGCCACTGTTTCAATCGAGTAATTACTTTTAAAAAACATGTAAATAACTTCTTATTGGTATGTTTAGCTTCTGAGATTTGAATTGTGATAATATCCTAGTTCGCCTTGTTATCATTCGGTTCCCTTTGATACCTCATTTCTTTACACTTCTTGATGTTGCACGTTTCAAATAGGTTTTGAATTTTTAGAGACATGGACTGTATCCAAAACTTGCATAGTTGTCATAGAGTTTTAGGTGATTTGATTGATATGTTCATGATGATGTAAAATAATCATGGTAAAATCATTCAATC